ACTTTGTGGCTACGTCATAAAACAAAAATGTGGCGCCTGGGGCTGCGAAGCCCCAAGAGTTATTGTTGAGAAGCTTCTACATCTCCAACGTGTTATTTTTACGCGCGTTTTTTAGTTCTTACTTTTTAAAAAATGAGGTTGGGTTTTTTGAGATTGCGTGTATTATGCAAAATTCCATGTTTGAGTGCAGAGGGGATCAATAGACCATGTCTTCGATTTCACCGAGATTTGACTGAATACTCTATGTGCATCATATCACATGTATAAGTATTCAGAATGTTGAACTTACGTGGAAATATATCGAAAAAGTAGACCGTTAAGCTGCATCTTTGGACTCGATCAAGGCTTAGGACGCTCAATATTTGTATTAACTTAACGCATACGGCTTTTTGCTTGCTCGAATTTCGATAATGGGTTACTTATGTAGTATCCATATCCTATTCTTAAAAATTAGAAAAAAGAAACAAATAAAAAGTTGCTATGTTCGCCCGGGCTGAACTTTTTATACCCTTCATCATGAAATGGTAACATTTGAATATGTAAATTCGATGGTGGCTCTGCTCCTAATGAAATTGGGGACACAGTTATATGGGCACGAAATCCAACGGGTATTCAAAAACTAAACTGCAGCCATTTTGGTCAAAAAAGGTGCCCAAATTCCACAAAATACCGCAATTTGAGGAGGTACCGTTCTATTGGTACCAATATCGAAAATTTTTAAAATACCAAATTACATGGAACCTACCCCGAAATATAAGTCAATATTGATTGGTTTTGGTATGCAGATTGTCCGCCGAATGGGATCACTATATGGGGCCCAACCTAAAAAGTGGCCAAATATTGAACATTGGACCATTCGCCTTATGTCTAATGGGGATATATACACTTTAATACGGCACAAATGTACTTCATCCAAATATTCTTTCTTGACCCCATGTTTCCTTGGACCAAATCCGTTTCAGCCAATTTGGAGTCGATTTATAAATGACCGTCCGTCATAACTCTCGAAGGGAGTGACCGATTTCATTCAAATTTTACACATCGTTATATTTCTTTCAAATTCAAATCAAATTCGAAGATGTGGAATATAGGCCCACTCTTTTTGGTACTTCTATCACAAAATGGTCAAAATTTCGATGCAAATTAATTTTATAATATCATACCAATGGACTATTTGATTTGAACCAAACTTTACACCGCCTATTATCTTTACCAAACCTAGATCAAGTCCGAAGATAGGACCCATTGGTGCATCGTAATATTTCAAACTCAAATTATGTTGGATTATGGAGAAATCGGTCTACTCCTTCTGGCACCTCTCTCACAAAATGATTAAAATTGTGCTTAAAATGCATTCTATAATGTCATGCAAACAGAGCATCCGATTCAAACGAATTTTCGCACAACCTAATATTTTAACCACACCTGTATATTGTTGGAAGGGTAGTTTACTTCTTCTTGTACCTCCCTACAATGGGTAAAAATTTTAAAAATTTGTTATTCCAATAACATTGTTGTGTAATGTCCGATTTGATGCCAAATATTTCTTTCAAAATTAATTCAAGTTGGAAGATGCGACTCTTGGTACACTCCCCCACACAAAATGGTCAAAATTTTTCTGAACATTAATTTTATAAAATCATTCGAACAGACTTTCTGATATGAAATAAACTTTGCACAACCTAATATTAGGTTGGGGAAAAATAAATTCATTATTTTTATATGAACTATAGGACTTTATTAAACACGCTTCGGAATGTCCGATTTGGGCCAAATATCCCCCGTTTTGTTGTATTTTTTTTTGCCATTTTAAAGCTAACTTCGTAATGCCTCTCTCATAGAAGTCCTGCTCTCTATTTGCAAAAAATTCTAACAGTCGAATTTCATAATCTTCCTTAGATACCAATTTTTTATCATGAAAATAATTTTGCAATGCAAGAAAAAGATGATAATCGCTTGAAGCCAAGTCCTGAATGTATGACGGATGCATTGAAACTTCCCAACCAAGCTCCCGAAGTTTCTTGCGAGTCACTGTACATGTGTGTGACCTAGCGTTGTCCTGGTGGAACACGACACCTCTCCTGATGGCCAATTCTTGCCGTTTCTGGTCAATTGCTATCTTCAAACAGTCCAGTTTTTGACAGTAGAGATCAGAATTTAGTGTTTGGTCATATAGAAGCAACTCATAATAAATAATCCCCTTCCAGTCTGACCAAATGTATAGCAGAACCTTCCTGGCCGTCAGCCCAGATTTGGCCACCGTTTGAGGTGTTATCGTTATTATCACCATCCCTTTAAGAAATGGGTCTATCTCATTCCTTTTGGCCAAGGCTTTGCAGATGGAAATTCAATCCATCTTATTTTTCTGTTAATTTGTGTGGCACCCAAACATCGAGTTTCTGTTTGAATCCAGCTTTGTGTAAATGGTTTAAAATAGTTTTATGGTCGATTTTTAGCTCCTGGGCGATGTTACGACTGCTAACATGCCAGTCAACTTCGATCATTTATCCAATTTTAACGACATTTTCATAATGGGTTTATTTTTCCCCAATCTAATATTTTAACCATGCCTGTATAATGTTGGGAGATGAGACTTATCGATCTACTTCTTCTAGTACCTCCCCCACAAAGTGTGAATATTTTCAAAATGTTGAAGTCTCATATGAAGCGAATGGAATATTCAATTTCATCGGAACTGTGTACATCGTAATAGGTTTATCTTACATAGATCAAGTTCGAAGACCCGTAGGTGTACCTCTTCCCTAAAATGTTAACATTTTGAAAATTTATTAATCCAATGCCAAGCTAATGGAATGTTTGAGTTAATCCCAAATTAGCATATGGAAATATTTTTTACCAACCCTAGTTTTAGTCCGAAGATGTGGTCTATAGGGCAATCTCATCCGAAACCTCTCCAAAGATGGAGAAAAAACATAAAGCGAATAATAAAACCTGTGTGTAATTCGGTCGACCTCCTTAAATCATAGATTAAATCTGTCGGCAACACCAACAGAAAAATTTTTAATTGCTTTCATCAGCTAATCCTCGACTTCTTGGCAGAAAAATCCGCACAAATTGTGGATTATATTAAAATATTTTTTTATTGGTCAAACGGCTCTTTTATAAGATCTCATACTACGTTACTGAACTAATTCTTCAGATTCCACAGTTTTCTCTGGGATGATTGATCGGGTAAAAATGGAAACGGACGATTAACATATACGAATTTCAATTTCCCGCCGTTGGGAACCCGATCTAAAACCTTATAAGCGAACTTTTTATACAATATTTGGACGTCAAAAAATCTCGTCTTGTGGTATTAAGTTTACGATTCAAAACATTTAGATGGACAACATATTTCTCATTCAATTTGTCTAAAGACATGTTATCTAACTATAGTGTTGCCAGTAAAAAAATCATCCTGCCTCAACTGAAAAACTTGACCTATGGTGAATTCGTCCTTCTGGATTCTCCATATACTCGTCAAGGGCTTTCCAACCCCCAAAATCGTGTTGCACGTTCGTATAAGTTATTATATAAACACCAGTCATAACGTTCTATTATAAAACTTTCATTTTTATTTTGCGATTCGGTTCAAAAATATTTCAGCTTTCTCCTTTTCTCCATCTTCAAGTTTTATTCATTTGAAAAATCAAACTATAATTACAGCAACAATGTTTTTTTTTTATAAAATTACAGAAACCCAACAACAACGAAATTTATAATAACTTAAAAAAATAAACTCACACAAAATCATTATCAAGGTTAAATTCAATTGCAAAAATAAAAAATAAAACAGCAACAACAGCTGAAAATAAATTTCAAACCACAGCGTAGAACTTGACAAACGTGTTTATTAGTGGGCAATAAATAAAGACCTGATGATGGCAAACATGTAGAGTGCAAACTGATTTAGAATGCAGAGCGTGTGTCCGCTCTGGTGTGCTATACATATTACGGAAATATCCGATGTAAAAAGACCCATCATCAAAAATTCCACACTTGAAGTGTGGAGTGGAATTTCTTTTGCTCACAATATGACCTTGATGAAAATTGTAAAACAAAATATTAACCAAGAGAAACTATTAAATTAATTTACAAGTTTATTATTTGTGGGATTTTTTTTTGTTTGCAATCATGACTTTAAATCAAGATACGAAGAGACTTCTCAGTAATCATTTAAAAGAGATTTATAATACTCATTAGTGCAAAAGCATGAATTCTCTCATTTATTGATGTGCGATTAAGAGAAACCCTATAAGAGAGTCATATGAAGTTATCTCAATTTTGTTGATTTTATTTTTGTTTTTTCTCAACTGGTCTATGTGAGAGTGTGCGTGCATGCGAGTTAAGTCGATGTGTTTATTATTGTTATTACATTTGAGTGTTGAACAAAAGACTTTAGGCACAAGCGTCTTTTGCTGGATGCTCGTTTGTCTTCTTTAATTCCTAGAAAAAATAAAAGATTTAAGACATAAACCTTTAGGGATTTTTTGGCCAGTATTATTAATACAGGATTTAATGACAACATTTAAATATCTGCAGCAAGGTCACGAAGACTCGTTTTTTTTATTTAAATTAAGAAAAAATATTATGTGTATGATTCATTAAACATATATATTTAACGAATTGAAAGTTAGTTATTATGTTTAGATAGTGAGTCATTTCATTTGAAATAGATACGATTTGAACTAAAATTAACAAAGAAGTGTTAAGATTTTTTGGAAAAGTTGAAAAAATGCAGCCTTAATGAAATTTTATTGGTATATTGCTAACGTCGTACATTTAATATTAACGAAGGTAGGACAAAATTGAAAAAAAAATAAATTGAATCATATTTACAAGCTTCCTAAATGGGTGAAGCTATGCAAGATAAATTATTACTATAGAAAACGGTATACAATAAGAGGGTTACTACACATAATTCTGGCATAATAATAAAAAACCTTATGTTCATTATCGAAGCAAATTACCCATTCCTACTGATGAATCCTACCAACATGGTTATACGATGCTATGTTGGTCGTCTCATCAAAGCAATTCCTCCACTCCTACTGATGAATCCTACCAACATGGTTGTACGATGCTATGTTGGTCGCCACATGACCCGTTTTTTTCGTAAAAACAGGGAACCATTTGTTTCCAAGTGCTTCTTCCTTGAATTTGGCTTGTCTTCGAATACCTGTGTCGATTTTATTAACGTCTTTTGAATCTCTTCGTGACAATCCACAGCAAAAGAGGAAAACACAAATTAAAACGCGGTTAGGCTTGACCCGGCCAAACTTTCCATCGTGATCTTTATTTGGAGAAAATTATATTCTTAAAAAATGTAATACCAAATTACATCACTAAGTTTCCTGGACCGACAAATTGCAGCCTTTTCAGTTGAAAACCAAAATAACCCCAAAATAACGAAATTTTCTGTTTTTATACCCTTTTTAATCATTATACCCCTTTTTTACTTTCAGTGAATTCTCAATATTGTGTCACACCAGAAAACTACTATGGACAGTGTGTTGCCCTCAGTTTTTGTCCGCAGATAGTAAATGTTTTTCAAACCACAAATCAACGACAAGCTCAACAATATGTCATACAGTCGCAGAGAGCTTGCGGAACAAGGAATATTAATGGCGATCCTGTGGTATGTTCACATTATTTTTCGTTCATTATTTTTATATTGATAAATATTTTTTTTCCTTCCAGGTATGTTGTACAAATCCAATAACATCACCACAGCCACAACCAACCACAAGACCCAATCGTCAAACGTCAAGACCAGTAACTCAGGCACCTTCAAATCCCTTTTTCCCCACGCAAAGACCAAATATCAATCCGACAAATCCCTTCCTAAATCCTACAATAACACAGGCACCCATAATACGCCCAACACCACCACCTACTCCAGCACCCACACCAGCCCCTACCATAGCACCGTCTAATCCCGTCATCGATAATAAAGCCACATCTTGCCGCGGACCCGATGGACGTGAGGGTACATGCATCGTTTTAATCAATTGCCCATCATTGATCCAAGAATTGCAAATCAAACAGACAGATCCGATTTTCGCCAATTATCTTCGTGTTTCGAATACAATTTGTGGTGGTGCCAATACTGTGGTTTGTTGTCCTCAGGCGACTTCGCAGCCCGTTACCTCTAGCCCCATTGTGGATAACAAGAATGATGTGATACCACGGAGATTGCCCACAGTTGAAGAGGGATGTGGTTACACAAGTAATTCGTACAAGAAAATTGTTGGCGGTGAGGTGAGCAAGAAGGGTGCATGGCCATGGATTGCTTTAATCGGTTACGATGATCAGCTATCACCCTCGCCATTTAAATGTGGTGGAGCGTTGGTGACAGCTCGTCACGTAGTGACTGCCGCTCATTGTTTGCGAAGAGATTTGTAAGTTAAATGTGTTAGAGATTTTCATTACGGGAATCGAATGATCGAAAATATTAAAATTTATTTACAGGAAATTTGTTCGTTTGGGTGAACATGATTTGACCACAGACACCGAAGCTCGTCATGTTGACATTAATGTTGTTAGGGTAAGTTAACTGAAAGTATTATAAATGTGATTCCATTTTTATTTTGAATATTTTTCTTATATCCATAACAGAGTGAAAGACATCCTGATTATAATTCCCGTAATGGCCACAGTGATCTTGCCATTTTGTATTTGGAACGCAATGTCGAATTTACAGGTAAGTTATGTAAAAATATTGCTAATTACAGTGATCATTATTATATTTCAAATCCTTCCGAACTGAAATAATATCAGTCCTAACTCGTGGTTTGAATATTCGAATTTAGAAATAACTGACCGCCGAAAGCGAACTATTTTAACCCTTTGTAGCCCGAATTTTTACCCGTGACAATAGAACTATTTTCTCTGCACAGATTTAACAAAACTGAAGTATAGGATATCTCGAAATTTGACGTCGCTAAATCCATGACAACAAAAATCAAACCTTCTTTCAGAAAAATAAAAGTCCAATATCAACAAAAAAATTTATTGTCGAAAAAATTTTTTAATTATTCCTTAGGTTCTTTTTTACAAGAAAGTCTCAATAACAATTTCAAATGAAAATCTCAACAACTCGTGAAGCGATTTAAATATTTTACTGTATAGCATCAAGTGAAGGCATATTTTTGATTCATCTATGTATTGAAAAGAGTATAACTTGTGAATTTTTCAGTTTTTTTTATGAATGTGTCGTCCATAATCAACTACTAATCCAATCGTTCCACGTTTCTCTGTGACTGTATAGCTATCGTGTGAACTAGGATATATCCAATCGGTCAAGATCTTCCTTATTTTTTAACTTATTTCGTGGTCAAATATAAGCGATTTTCCAAGAAAATTATTTCATAGTTTAGCCAGTTTTTTTACATTTTGTGCGAAGTCAATAATCCTAGTTCATACGACAGCCAGATATGTACTATTTCTAATGCCATTGGAATTTTCGGATTTCGATGTTCTTGTGAGGAGTTCTCGTGTCCGCCGTCAAAAATAAGGACTTTTCTTTAATCACAAGAAAACACCAACAACAAAATGTTGTAAATTATTTTTCTTCTATTTTAAATCTTCAAATGCACTGTAATTAATACCTCTATTAACACAACCAATATATTACCAAAAACTGAAATATAGGAGGCTCTCATTACAATTGTTGAAACATTTTACATTTTGACTTTAGAAATAAACAAATAAAATAAACAAAAATTCAAAAACGAACTTTTTGAAAATAGAAGAATATGAGAGACATATTTGGCTCCTAAAAGTATACAACGCTCTTCATAAATATTAATTACTATATTAACTAGTGTGCAGTGGATAGTAAGTCAGACTTCAAACCAATGCGCCCGGGATTCGAATTCCAGCGGGTAGGAAATTGATTTTAAAGCTATTGTTTTTTTTTTTTAATTTTTAAAAAAGCATTCTAATAAGCACAAATCAAAACATGAGCGTTGTACAAATATGAATGGCAGGTTGTAACGGCAGCCAACAATGGCATCACTAAAATAACTAAATAAGCAATGACCACAACCACTGCACGATATTTAAGGAGTCGCTGGGCTTAGGCAAAAATAGATGGCAGTCCCGTCACCTAGAACAGGCTACATTCTTCTACTTAACTAGAATAAAAATTGATAACAAGACTGAAATTATGCCATTTTCAAAAATCTCTAATATTTACCAAAATTCACCATTTAAAATAAATTTATTTCCATTACTACTAATTATGTTGCTAGTATGATAAAGATGGTGCCAATCATAACATACAATTTTTCAATTTGACATGAAAGTCTTACACTAGAGAAGTTCTAATTAAAAATTATAAGTCAGCATTGCTTAGAAATATACCCCCAGCCTATAATATAGTTATTATACATTTATCCTGATACATGAACGCTACTTATTTCAAAATTTTCGAGGTTTAGGAATTTTAAAAATTGAATTTTTGTGGGAGGGATACAAATAATTATGTAGATATCAAAAATTTCAGGCACATAATTTGTTTCTCATTTTTCAAAAACTATACAAATTTCAAACTTTGTGAACCTAGAATGCCAAATTACTGATACTTCATTGGAGAATGCCTCGTATACTTTCAAAATAACGAAACTGGGGTGAGACCTGTATATGGATGCTATGTTAAAACATGGACCTATAAAATATTTTTTTCGTCAAAAATGTGTTTCGCCTTCTTCCGGTCCCTAAAAAATATTGTTTTAATATCCACTAATTGTTTATTTATTAAAAAAAAACACGACAAAATATTTTTTTAATATATCCATGCCAAGTTTAAAATAAAAATATTATTTATTTAAATATAAACATCATGTTTAGGCTTCTAAAAACATTTTTTGGAATATCGATCAGGTCCCTAAAAACATTCTTTAAATAATCCACGCCCTCGTCAGTTATCTAAAAAATATTCTTTAAAAAATCCAGGCCTTGTTTCAGTCGTCAAAAATAATTTTCAAAAAATCCACACTCCTTAAAAATAATATTTAAAAAATACACAACATCTTTATGTCCTTAAAAATAATTTTTAAACAATCCAAGCCTTCTTTAGGTCCTTATAAATATATTTGTGGAAATTCAAAATATTTTTTTTTGAAATCTACGCCTTCTTCAGGTATTTCTTTTTTTAAATCCACGCATTCTTTATGCTCTTAAAAATATATATTTTTTAAATCCACACATTATTTAAGTTTTTTAAAAATATTAATTAAAATATCTACGCGCTGTTTAGGTTCTTTAAAATATTTAAAAAAAAAAAAACAATTCATGACCAGGACTTGTTTAGCTCTTTAAATTTTTAATTAAAATTAATTTTTTTCTTTAAAAAATCTACACCTTCTCGAGGTCTTTCTAAATAACACTCTTTAAAACTCCATGACTTGTTTAGATTTTTAAAAATATTTTAAACCAGTAGGGAAAGTAGTAAAGGGCTGGGCCGATATATATATATATATATATATATGATACCCTTCACCACTTTGGGTGTATTCTACACATGCCTTTTTGCAACATATGCTAAATTTCATTTCATGCGGTCAGATTTAGAATCGTTAGGGTAAAATGGATCTAATTTATGAATGCCGCTATTCGGAATGCCGCATTGTTCAAAATTTAATATCAATCTGACACCCGTTCGAAATATAAAATAAGTATTTCAAAAAAAGTCGTCATTCTAATCTCAATATGATTCGTTGTGCAAAATTTCGTGTCAATCGGACAAACATTGGGTCCTAAGTGTGCAATTTACATAAAATTGGAAGAAAAGACATATGGGAGCTATATCTACATCCGAACCGATTTTAAGGAAACTTAACACACATCATTCTAGACTTAATTCAGTACGCTATGCCAATTTTTGTCCAAATCGAAAGATACGTATGGACTTTGGTACACCATATACTTTAAATCGGAAGAAAATATATATGGGAGGTATATCTAAATCTGAACCGACTTTTGAGGAAACTTTACACACATCATTCTAAACTCAATTCAGTACGCTATTCCAAATTCTATGCCAATCGAAAGATATTTTGGGACTTCGTTACACCATTAACATTAAATCGTACGAAAATATATATTGGAGCTATATCTAAATATGAACCAATTTTTCCCAATTTCAATAGGGTTCGTCCTTGGACCAAATAGATGAGCTGAGCCAAATTTCATCCAATTTGGATCATAAATGCGACTGTACTTTGTTTACAATTTAACGTGGACATACAGACGGACATGCATAAATCGACTTAGAAAGTCGATACCCACACCACAATGTGGTGGAGGACATACAAATCCATTCTTTCTTCAGGACTTTAAAAAAAAATCATTATTAAATTATTGTGTGCTCTATTGTCATCAACTTTTTTTTTAAATATTTTTTTTCAGAATTCATTTCACCTATTTGCATGCCTATTACACCTCAGCTAAGGCAAAAATCCTATGTCAAGCATACACCATTTGTTGTTGGCTGGGGCAAGACCATGGAGGGTGGTGTATCAGCAAATGTTTTGCAAGAGCTACAAATCCCCATCTATGACAATGAAGTGTGTCGGGATCGTTATCGCAAACAGAATCGTCTCTTTACCGAAAATCAATTCGATGATGCTGTCGTGTGTGCTGGAGTTTTGTCCGGAGGCAAGGATACATGTCAGGGAGATTCTGGTGGTCCACTAATGATACCAGAGGTAAGAACGAACCGCAGAAAAGGTATAAGTATTTAAAATTAATTTTATTTCGTCTTCACCCTCCTTAGCCCTACCAGAACAATGTTCGTTACTATCTGATTGGTGTGGTGTCATATGGTATTGGTTGTGCACGCCCCGAAATTCCTGGTGTCTACACAAGTACTCAGCACTTTATGGATTGGATCCAGCAAAAGATTGCCGATACTCCATAGAAAGTAATACACAACAAATAAAAAAAATAACTCATTATAAGTGAAGCCATCCATCTAGCCAGATGAACTAATGACGAAGGTGTAAGAGAGATTATTTATTCAGTTTATTTTTCGTTTTTTTTTTCTTTTTTGATTTTCCCTTTTTTATAATTTATATTTAAAAACAAATAATAATAAAGTCTTTTTGTAATTTAAATAGTTCATTGTGTTTCAATAGATGAAGGGAAAAAGGGTTGCTGTTATGCTTTGATTTCTATCGCCATGCTTTCATTTCATTGCCCCCAAATTCATTTACGTTTCAATAGATTTTACTTTTCTTTTCAAAGGAGGTCGATTTATGCAGATGACGTCAGGGCAAGCAGATGCATTGAATTGTGTGCTGGTTGTTGGTGTGGGGGTAACACTGATTTCAGTGCTTTGATTGCACCATAAAAAGGATTGGAGATTAAAATCGTTTATGGTTATTTGAAATTATCATTTGAATTGAATTCAAAGAATTAACAACAATTTGTGGTTTCTCTAAGCCAGATGTAATGCAGAGCAGTCAATCTAAAGACACTCCAACATATGCTGTTAATTGTGTATTAATTGTGTTCTACTGTAGGTTTAACAGATTTGTGATAATGAAAGGAAAACTCTCGTTGTCGAACATAATTTTATTTAACTTTAATAATGAAAGAGTTTTTCAACCACCAGTCAAAATACTTTTGAAGTATTTGAAACTTTATACAATTCAGATTTAATATTAAATATATTCGTTAGTAAAAAAATTAAAAATTTGTTGAGTGTTGCCTCAGGACAGAAGTTCCTGTTGCAAAAAATAAGCGGGAAAAATTAATTCGGCCTGAAATTTCATAATATTGAAAATGAGGCGAGTCCTTATTTATATGGGACCTAATAAAAACATGACAAACACCGAAAACGTCTGTAAATATGTTTTGCACCCTTAAAAAATCCGGAATGAATATTTACAGCCACTCCACTAGAGAAATTAGACCAAACAAATATGAAGAAGGTATATGGTTCTTTATTTTCTACAACAACAATGTACGTTTAGCTATAAATACAATCGGTGATTTATTCATAGGGACTAGTTCGAAAAATGTGTCCATATTAAAAACATGTCTTCGAAGAGGTATTATATTCGATATGCAACATTACAGCTTTTTTCGGTTGGAAAATGAAGCTGGGATCTTCAAAATACATATTGCAAAATATGAACGCATATATTACTGCATTCGCTGATACCCAAGATTGAAATAAACAAAAATTTATCGCAGGTAATCAACAAGTTGATTTTTAACTTACCTGCCAAGTCGCGCAATTTGAAAGAGTACATATATGGCTCTGGTATGAACTAGGATTCTTGACTTCGCTGCGGAACTAGGCTATTTTCTACCAAAAACATGCTGGAAAATAGGAAAGATCTTCAACGATTAAATTTATCTAGTTCATAAGATTTTCCTAGTTCGCTGCCACCTGTCGCTTAGGGGAACCCCCCCCCCCCATTCTCGATTTTAATTTTTCAAGATTCTCAATGGACTGGTAAATCAATACCAATGCTTTTTGAGGTTTGTAACTTTGCACATATATATTTGAAGATTTAAAAGAGAAGAAAAATAATTTACAAAAAAAGTTTGTTATTGTTTTGTTGTTGTTTTTTGTAATTAAAGAAAAGTCCGTATTTTTCATGGCGGGCATGATAACTCCTCACTGGAACATCGGAATCCGAAAATTCCAACGGTGTTATTGACTTCGCTCTAAAATTAATAAAATGGTGGACCTTTGAAAAAATATTTTTGGAAAATCGCCGATTTTTTACCAAAACCCAAGTCAAAAAATAAGGAAGATCTTCACCGATTGGCTTTATCCTAGTTCATACGAGAGCTATACACTCCCAGAGAAACGTTGCAAAATGGAACCGATTGGATTATTAGTTTTTGAGTTATCTTGCCCGATGTTCATACTCCGAAACAAATTACTTTTATACATTTATATTTACTAGCATATGTAGCGGGCATATACATGTGGGAAATATTAAAACATGTATTAATATATTACTTTATTTTCATAGAAAAGTGCATATGTGAGAAAAACTAAATAATCCACACATTAATTATTAATTAATATCCACCATTATTTAAATTTAAGTATCATTTAATATCAAATTTCATAATTCGAGCTCTAAAGGTTAACCCAAATCTAAATTTTAATAAATTTGGTTCCATTATTTTCAGTCATCCAACAAAACCTCCTCCATACCCCGATCCTACATCCCCACAATGATGCTAAATTCAAATTTCAGGATTTCGACTCTATTACTCACCCACAATTTAAATTGTACCAAATTTAGTACACAGTAGTACGAATTTCCAAAACCTCCTACTTAACCCAAACCTACACCCCCGCAGTGATCTTAAATCCAAGTTTCAGGATTCCAACTCTATCGGCTCACCCACAATTCAAATTGTACAAAATATAGTACACAGTTCCAAAACTTCCTACATAACCCAAACCTTCACCCCCACAGCGATTCTAAATCCATGTTTCAGGATTCCAACTTTATCGGTTCACCCACAATTCAAATTTTACCAAATTTAGTAAACAGTAGTACACCCCAAAAAGGATCCTGACTTCAAATTTTATGATTCTAACTCTATTGGTTCACCTAAAATTCAAATTGTACCAAATTTAGTACCATTTAATATCCATAAATATTAATTTCTTAAACTTAATCCTGACCCAAATCCTACATCCCTACAGTGATCCTGACTCCAAATTTCTTTGTCCTTGCTCTATCCGTTCACCCAAATCCAAATTGTACCAACAATAGTGCGATTTAGTACTTTTTAGTACCAAATTTTGTACTTTTCGTAGCAAAAAGTACGATTTTCCAAAACTACCTCAATCATGCACTCCACTAATAATCGTAAGTCATCAGTTATGGCTTCCAGCTCTATCCTTTTACCAACATCCAAATTGTACCAAATTTAATACCATTTATTACTTTTCGTGGACGTAGGTGCGATTTTCCAAAACTTCCTCAATTCTACTCTCCAACAGTAACATGTATCAAAAATTGTAGGATCCCAGCCCTATTCGTCCAGATTGATCGTAATTGTACCATATTTAGTACCATTTACTACTTTTCGTATTTTTAAGTTCGAATTTCCAACACTACCTCAATCGTGTAATTTTAATTCCAAATATAAGTTTTCCACCTCAATACGTTCACTCAAATCTAAATTGTATTATATTTGGTAACATTTAGTACTTTTTGTCCCAATAATTACGAGTTTCCTAAACTTCCTCAAACCTACCTTTTAACAGTCATTTTAATTCCAAAATTCTGGAGGCTGGCTCCGTTTGCACATAATCAAGTTGTACCAAATATAGTACCATTTAGTACACATAAGTACTATACTTTCATATCCATTCATATTCATAAGTACTCTACTTTCATACTCTTCAACAGTAACCATTATTACAATTTTAGGTTTCAAGTATCTCCGTTCACCCAAAATTGTACCAAATCTAGTCATTTAGTACTTCTCGTACACATACGAATACGAATTCCCCAAATTCCCTGTAGTTCCTCAACAGTAATCTTTATTCCAAATTTGAGGTTTTCAACTCTATCCGTTCACCCAAAATCCAAATTGTACTAAATTTAGTAACATTTAGTACTTTTCGCATTCATAAGTACGAATTTCCTAAACTACCTTAATTCTACACTCCAACAGTCATATCAATTCTCAAATTCAAGACTCCAGCTCTATCTCCTCGCCTTAATCCAACATGTACCAAATTTAGTACTTTTCGTACACATAAGTACGATTTTTTAATACTGCCTAAATCATTCCATGTCTATACGCTCAACTAAATACAAATAGTACTAAATGCAGTACCATTTAGTACTTTTCATACACATAAGTACGAATTTCTAAAATTGAACATCTACATCTTTCTAACTTTCCATCAGTGAACCACATTCCAAATTCCAGAATTCTAGCTCTTCCCGTTTGTCTACCCTTAATCCAGGGTCAATAACCTTTAATCCAGGGTCAGTGACCTTTAATCCGGATTAAGCCTTAATCCATGTTCAATGACCCTTAATCCCGATTAAGCCTTAATCCGGGGTCAATGACCTTTAATCCGGATTAAGCCTTAATCCAGGGTCAATGATCCTTAATCCGGATTAAGCTTTAATCCGGGGTCAATGACCCTTAATCCGTATTAAGCATTAATCCGGGTTCAATAACCCTTCATCCGGATAAAGTCTTAATCCGGGTTTAATGATCCTTAATCCGGATTAAGCCTTAATCCAGGGTCAATGATCCTTAATCCGGGGTCAATGGCCCTTAATCCGGATTAAACCTTAATCCGGTGTCAATGACCCTTAATCCGGGGGTCAATGACCTTTAATCAAGGGTCAATGACCCTTAATCCGGATTAAGCTTTAATCCGGGGTCAATAACCCTTAATCCGTATTAAGCATTAATCCGGGTTCAATAAACCTTAATCCGGATAAAGTCTTAATCCGGGTTTAATGATCCTTAACCCGGATTAAGCCTTAATCCAGGGTCAATGATCCTTAATCCGGGGTCAATGGCACTTAATCCGGATTAAACCTTAATCCGGTGTCAATGACCCTTAATCCGGGGTCAATGACCTTTAATCAAGGGTCAATGACCCTTAATCCGGTTTCAATAACCCTTAATCCGGATTAAGTTTTAATCCGGGTTCAATGATCCTTAATCCGGATTAAGCCTTAATCCGGGGTCAATGATCCTTAATCCGGATTAAGCCCTAAACCGGGGTCAATGACCCTTAATCCGGATTAAGCCCTAATCCGGATTAAGGGTCATTAATCCGGATTAAGCCTTAATCCCGTGTCAATGACCCTTAATCCGGGGTCAATGCCCCTAATCCGCGGTCAATGTCCTTTAATCTGGGGTCAATGACCTTTAATCCTGATTAAGGTTCAGTGACCCCGGATT